ATCTGGCGGGATCACTCACCTATGAAGTCTAACACTGTGGGTTTGAATTGATCTCAGGCCTCAGTTTCTAGGCCTGGGCAAAATAGGTACATTTCTCTGTTTCCCTCTACCTGAAAGCCACAGTTAGGATCATCATGATCGAGCAGGCTGCACCCCTAATTTAATGTCAACACCACATTTAATGTTGGCATGGCTTTGTGTTCCTGCAGCACCCTGACTTGAGTAGCTAGCTACCTTCCATTAGTTGGGTGTCTGCTGTGTGTCAGCCATGGCACTGGGCGCTTTGGCTAGACTGCTCTTTGCTCCATCACTCCCTCTGAAGCTGGTGTTATCTATCCCCGTTTTATGACCTTGATTCGCTTTAGTGGCAACAGATCAAGGTCAAGCTTAGAGGCTTCCTACACCACCCTGGAACCCAACGGCTGGAGTTTAAATCCCAGAGCAACCACTTCCTAGTTTTTTGGCCTTGGGCAAGTTTATCAACCTCTTGCTTCACTTTCCTCCTCTGTGGGGTGTGAGAGTCATAACAACATCAACCTCAAATGGGTAGCTATGGGAATTAATGACCTAGCCCATGTAAAGCTTCTAGTTAGTGCTCAATGAACATTCCCTGCTCTTTTCTGGTCCTCTGATCCTCCTGTTTCTGTCATCCTCTGGCCCTTCACGGTGTGCCTCTCAGAGGGTATTCCAGGTGATGGTTCGCTCATTCCAAGTCTGGCAGACTCTCATAGAGGCCTCTTCCTGTGCCTCTCTGTGCTTCTGCAATTGAATTTGCAATCTGTACTTACACGAGCTACACTGCTTTGGGTCAAGGACGTGTGCATGGAAAGCAACAGAGGCAAACCACTCACCCGAGGTAACTGCCAGGAAACACCAGCGCAGTGAGGCTCTAGTGTCCTGCCCAGTGGTCCAAATGCCCCCATTGGCCACCTGGCCGCTAGCTGCTTGCCTGGAGGGCCTGGGAGCAGGGGTGATATGCAAAGTATTTGCCCACACAGAGGGATCCTGACCAGTCAGTGTGGACCTTGGCCATCATGCTGGAGCACAGGGCACATGCAGGGCTCAGAGCTGTGGCTCTTGACCACCTGGGAAGGAAGCACTTGAACAACTGGCATTGCTGCACAGGTGTGCTCTGGGTCTGCATCCGCTTTGCCATTGGGAAGAACCAGGGTGAAGCACTAACCTGCGGGGAGTCTGGGCTGTAGGAGGGTGAGTTCTGTCTTCCTGGCACTCCTAAGTGCAGGCTCACCTTATGACAAGATGGTTGAGGGTTGGTATAATTAAGTGGCCTTCATGGCTTTTGCATTGAGATGATGATAATGATGTTGGCTTCAGCATCAAACCGGACCCTTGTGAGCTTTGGCATCTTAAACATATCTTTAACTCCTGAGAACCTTGGTTGTTTGATCTGTGAAATGGGTACAACACCCCAGCTGGGGCTACTATAGAAAGCAAGTCACACAGGGCCCCGGACACACGGCCTCACAGAGAAAGTGGGAGCCGTTCCTTCTTGTCCTGGAGAAGCCTCGGTGCTCTTCCTACTAGGTGGGACCCCTTCCCACTCTGGGGGGCAGCCAGGCGCAAGCCTTCCTTCGAAGCATTGACACTTATTCTTTTAATCATGCAGCAGGTGTGTATTCAGTGCCTACTCTGTGCCAGGCACAGTGCTAGTGGTCAGAGATGCTTCAAGGCCCCGTCCTCACAGAGCATGGAAAGGGAGGCAGAGAATATGGTAGACAGGCCTTTCCTCCCACTGCAAGCATACAGCAATCCATAGGCCTGGATACCACTAATAAAACAGCAGTGGCAACAAAACCCACCAGACAAAACAGAGCCCAGCTTGGAATCAAGGAAGGAAACTCTCAGAAGCCAGAAATAAAAGACCTCAGATCAGGGGCCTGAGAGGCTGCTGTGGAAGTGGTCACAGAAGTTCGGGAACTGGTCCGGGTGAGTGGTTCCCAGCTGGGGTTACATCTCTGTGTGACATGGGGAGCTTCAGGAGATGCTTGGACCCTACCCCAGACCAAGGAATCAGATTCCCGGAAGGCCAGGCCTAGGTTTCAGGAGGTTTTAAAGCTCCTCCAGTGGTTCCAATGTGCAGCTGAGCTGGTGAAGGCCTTTGCGGTGGGGCTAGAGGGTAGGATTCTAAAGCCTGCGCAAGCCAGGAATGAGCCTCCTGTGTAAGGCAAGGGTCGTGAAATTATCTGAGTGGGTCGAATGGGGCCTGGAAAAATTCCACCCACTAGCTCAGCTAATGGGTAAAAATGCTGGACATTTATCTGGAGCTGCAGGGGTAAAGTGTCACCATTGGGAAATTCAAAGCTGGTCTGTGGCTGATGAGAGCGCCAGGGTTATGGTCCCATACCTAGCCTGTTGCCAGCACTTCAGGCAGCATCATCAGCAATTACTTTGGAGGATGGCCACTTCCATCTTGCAGGGCATAGGTGACCCCTGTGGAAAACAAGTCCCCTGGAAGATCCTAGAAGGGCAGGCAGACCATAAATGAGTGAGCAGATGTGTCACTGTTTCTCAGTTCTGACCGTGGGCCAGGAAGATGGCCATGATAGCTTCCAGAGGTGTTGACTAAATGTGTATGGAGTGTGGCCTGAGCACTGGGATCTTTTAGGAGGTTCCTTGGGGTTGAGAACTACAAAATAAACGAGATAATTTAGAAAGTTTATGAAGACGACCTAGCAGGCTAATGTGTCATATAATAGAAAGTAATTAGCTGAGGGAGACCAGGAGCAGGCTCCCCAGGAGGTGACATTCAATTTGAAGGATGAAAGATGAGGCAGAGGCGGCTGGCAAGGAGCTGGGAAGCAGACCTCCAGGCAGAGGCACAGCAAGTGCAAAGGGCCTGACACTGGAATAAAAAGGGGCCAGAGGGAGGAGGGCTGAAGGTCTTGTAAGCCATGGTCAGATGCTTGGAATTTTCTTGCAAGGGCGAAGGAAAGCCACTGAGAGTTTAAGCAGGGCAACAGTGTGATCTGATGTTGGACAAGCAGAATCCTGAAAACTCACAGCTGCGTACATTTCATTTCCTTTGTAACACTGAGCATCCCCAATCCCTGTACCTGACTTCTCTCTCTACCTTATCCTGTTTTTGCATTTTTGCAATAACTCCATCAAGGAGGTTGGTAGGTGTCTTCTCCATCTTTACTGATGGAAAAATACCAGAGCCAAGGAGTCTCATTTGTGCCTTCTAGTTCTTGAGTGGCAGGCTCTCAGATCATCTGGCACCCCTTCCAGAGCTCCTGCCCAGAGCTGGGGCACTTGTGAACACAAGAGGCAGCCAAGCCACCTGCCCCGCTGTTGTTATCATGGTGAGTTATATTCTCGCCCACCTTGGCCCCTGGAATGAGAATGCGAACAGCTTGCCCCAGAGTGGTCTTCCCTGCAACACGCAACTTTGCTTAAGCTTTCATGATTCTGAGGGGCCAGTCATCCCTTTGTTGACTTTGTCCAGCAGCTCCACCATTACAGCCTCATTTTAGAAAATACAGACACTTGGAGACAAATTGAAAGGGTGTTTTCCTGCAGCATCTCCACTTAGCTCGCCTCAGTATGCACCACGGAGGGCTGCACTCCTCCTGTGACTGACAGGACCCATCACACTAGGGTCCATGTGGGTTACATGGCAGTCCTCCCTCTTCTTGGCCATTGGGTCCTCATTTTCTATTAATTCCTTAAGGAGTAGCTGCTTATAGCTGGTGCTGGGTCAGTTTTGGGGAACACTCTTAAACATTGAAAAATGTCATGGCTGGAGAGCTCGAGGTCTTTCTTGTCACAATTCTTGGAAGCCTATGGTGGCCCCATTTCCCATTCCCCAGGTTCTAGGGGAAGGTGGCTGGGGAAGCAGTGAGGAAGACTGAGAAAGGCCACAAGGGACCTTTAGTGCCCTTTGCCGGGTGGTTCTATTGGGCTTTGGCTGCAAACAACTATGATGATTCTAAAGAAATCATGATCTGGGGCGGGATGGTTCAGTGGACTGTATATGGAAATTGCCCTATCACCTGGATTGCTAAGGATAGAAATTACATTATCCCAATCCTAAAGCCCCAAGCAACTAAGATATTGCTTCTAGGTGGAACCACGGAAACGTCCCATTGTTGTGGATGACCCGCCACCAGAACAAAAGCCTGTTTGTTTTCTGCTTCCACAAGGGGTGGCATAGAGTGCCTCCCGCTCCCCACTCCTCTCCTTTCCTGCTATCTCACAGCATTGTTCCAGGCCAGGGCTCAGGGATCCAAGAAGAAGGGATGCCACTTGGCTCCCTGGGCTCACTCTGGTCTTGGGGAATGCCAAGGGAAGAGCCCTGAAGACAGGAGGCAAAGAACGGAGATAAAGATGCGAAGAGATGACATCCGTAGTGTTGGTGAGAGACAGGGGCTGGGGCAGGCTGTCAGTGTCATGGGGGATGCCACTAGGGGTATTTGCGAGGCAGTTTGTGTGTCTGGAGTCCCATCTGACTGGCATCCATAAACATCCCTCTTCCACTCATTCTGGAAGGGGAGCCTTCATTAGGCATGAAGCGATTGATCATGCAGCAGCCTCTTGGAGTTGTGGGTCTCCCTGCCATCTGGAGGGACGGTTTCCTACCCTGCAGCAACAGCAGTGGTAACGATCGCTGGGGTCCTGCAGCCCAGGCCTGATAAAACCCAAATGGCTTTTGTCCTTCCCAGAAAGGAGCGAGATTTTGCTTGCGTTGATGGCGTTCCTGCTGAGGGTTGCCAGGTCTCTGTGTCTAGGCCTCTGCATAGGGCCAGGTTTCAGTTTACAGCGACCCAACCACAAAAGTGAACAGAAAAAGCCCTGAACTGAGGATGAGAAGACCTGGGCAGAAATTCTACCAGGGAGCAATGAGGCTTCATGCAGGTTTCTGGCCTCAGTTTTAGGACCTATACAATGGTCCTGCTTTGGCCCAACCCACATGATTTTTCGGAGGTTCCTGTGACATAGACGCAAAATAACTTCATTAACTATCAAACCCTCCACAAGCATTAAGGATTTAATCCAACAAACATTTATTGAGGAACTGCTGTGTGCTATGCACCACGCCTAGTGCTGTGATGGTTACAGGGGAATAAAACACAGTCCCTGCCCTTGGCGAGCTTACAGTCTAAGAACAGTCATAGGACAAGTGCACAAATAACTATAATACAAGGCAGAATATGGTAAGTGCCATGAGAAAGGTACAAATAAAGTGCTACGGTGGTTCAGCAGAGGGAGAGATCCCAGTGGTTGGTAGATCAGGAGGGCTTCATGAAAGATGTGGTTTCTGCATGAGCTTTGAAGGGAAGAAAAGGGAGCATTCCAGGGGATGGGAACAGCAAGACCAAAGGCACAGAGACAGGAAATTGCAGGCACCCTTTCCAGGAAAAACAGCTCTGCTATGCTGGCCAGGGGAGGGTGTAAAGGAAGAACGGGGCCTTACCTGGTAGTCTGTAATGTCAAAATAGAGAACTGTACGTTTGTTCATGGGCTGGGGAACTTTTAAATGTTTGTGTGCAACGGGAGATAAAAATCACCGTGCATGTTCAGGATGGACTGGACAATGTGTCAGCGTGCACAGAGGTAATCTGGGAGGTGAGACTGTTGCTGAAATAGTCAAATGACAAGTAAAGAGGTGAGGTTAGTGCTAGCGGGAAGACTTAGCAAGGCAGGACGTGGGAGAATAGTCGAGGATGATGTCAGCGTCTCAGACTGGGTGGCTGATGGAATCATGGGTCTTTCAGTAGAAAAAGGAGGGATTGTGGGAAGGGACATAGATGATCCACTTGGCTTTCTGACATGTTGAGTTGATGGTGCTGCTATGAGAGCAGATGGGGTGAGTGTCCCCCCCAGCAGGTGTAATCCCAGCCTGGAGCTCAGGAGAGGGTTGGGCTGCAGAGATGGGTTGGGGTGGGGGCAGCTTATAAAGGTGTGGCCTGGTCTTAAGGCTGGTTGAGGCTGCTGAGGAAGAGTTCAGGGGGACCCAGGAGAGGACACCAGTGTAAGGCATGTCCATGCATTGGGGCAAGGAGAAGAGAGGGGAATACTGGTCAGATCTACCTTGATTTCTTTGTCGATCAAAGTAGGGGTGTCAATAAATAAATCATAAATAAATAAATAAATAAATACATATGTAAATACACACATGGCCGAGAGGGATTGGGAAAGGAGAAGAAACACAAGAACATGACATTCTGGGTACCGTGGGGCCGGGGGAGTCCAGGAGGAGTCGATGCAGAGCCAAGTGGCGTGGAGAGCTGGGGGGTAAGATGTGTGTCCTGGAGGCGCTGGGACGCTGCTGCCAGGAGCTGGGGGAAGCCGAGGGGCCTCAAGAGGGAGGGCAGTCGTAGGTGCTGGAGGCCCTTCCTGGGGCTGGTGGAGAAGAAAGTGAGGGTAAAGTCTGCAGAAGCCAACATGGTGGAGTCAGCATGTGCTGATGGGCAGAGGCAACAGAGGTGGAGGAGAGAGAGTGAGGGCGTACAGGAAACAACTGGTGGGGGCGATGTTTCCTCAGAAAGCGGAGGAAGAAGACAAGAGACTTTAAGGGCAGATCTCATTTCAGAAGGCTCTGTCTCTTCCATGAAGTAGGACAATGACGGGGAGTGTGTTGAGACTTGGGGAGAATGTGGGTTGGAAGTGCTTGGGTGGGTGATGGCAGGCAGACTGGGCATCCGACAGGTGGCAGGAGGTGACATAGGGGTGCCTGTCAGCAGTGAGAGCCGGCTGAGGCTGGAGGCCCATTCTCCCAGGGTGCCTGTGACCCTGCAGTTATAGCAGTGGATCTGGGGGCCGGGTACAGGCTGTGCGACTCCCTGGGGCCACCCAAGGTCAGCTGGCCTACACCAGGAACTGCAAGGGAGGCTCAAATTGAACTCTGAATGGGCAGGAAAGGACAACTGGCCCCTGACTGTGCATGCCCAGATGGAGGAGGACAGTGAGCCAACGAAAGCCAAGGCTCCTGGAGCTCCGCCATCACATGGCCAGGGCATTTTGGCAGTGCAGGACTCATGCCTAGTGGGGGAAGAGCGCACCTGTTGATTATCCTGGGGTCTCCAACCTTTCTCCAGAGAGAACCTGAAGGCAGGGTGGAAGGTCTCCTTGCACTCCAGCTCACATCAGCTTCAATTTAAGAAGCCAGGACTATGATAGGCAGAAAGGAAACCATGTTCTGGACTCCTGCAAAGGGATGGTGGCGTGTTGGCTTGGTGGACAGAGCTCAGGGCCAACTCCAGAACCTGACACAAGTTCCCGGCAGTGCTTGCCATGAAACATTCTGGAATCCAAGGCCTTGGTTAATCCCTCAAGGCCCTGCTGGAAACTCTACCCACTCCCCAGGTCACTTCAAGCTTTAGAAATTAAATGTCTTCTAGGCTCTTTGAGATCCTCAAGATGAAAGGCTCTGGAGACGTATGAAATATGATACTAATTATTTCTACCGCCCGTGAAGAGTCTGAAACCACTCAGCTCCCACAGAAGCCATTAGTGCTGTTCCTTTGTAAAATATTCATTTTATAACATAAATCCCCAATCACAGATTTCAAGCAACAACAAAGGAAAATGCAGAGATGTATCATCATCCTCACGGCTTTGGGCTGGAGTGTTCGAGTGTGGGGTTAATGGTTCTGCTGCCTCCACTCCCTTCTGGTCAACCATTAACTTAGAGTCAGGGTCCTGTTCTGCACTGCCATTGATTAATTATGTCTGGTCTCATATGCTTAGGAGCAGGTCTTGATTGCTTTTCTTAACTCCCTTCACCTTCAAGATAGTTTTTTACTTACCCTTCAAATATATTTTAAAACACTGTTATTTATCAGGCAAAGGAATACGTCTAACGAATCAAGCTGGCTAATGTTTCTCTATGTGTGACCTGTGATTCCAGCCCATAAGTTGCAGGCATCCAGCCCAGATTTTTCTGGGAGGTTATGCCCACTATTTGGAATCGCATTTGGCTTTGGGCATTCTTTTTTAAACTCGTACTATTAATCTCAATAGGGGGAAAAAAGGATTTAGAAAAATTCTAAAATCATTGCTTCTGGGGAGAGGAGGATGCATGGAGGTGGGGTGGACGTTGGAACCTCTCCCCACAGAATTGAAAACCTCAATGCTGGAGCTTGGTGTGGGCTAGTGTGACTGTCAGGGTAGGAAAATGACAAGAAAGTGACACTGACACAGCAGCCTGGCTGCAGAGGTCCCGCAGAGTGCAGAATGCAGAAGGTAAACAGAGAGTGACTGCAGGGACTTGGAGCCAGATGCTTCACATTCTTTCAGGTCTCACACTCTGAGGCTCTGTGAGGCACCCCAAAGGACAATCCTATGTTAAGAAGGATGACATTTATCTTGACAGCACCCTTTCAAGCTCTCATGGTGGCTTCCCTGTTGACAGAGGGGACAGTACAGTCCCTCATGTGACATTCTAACAGGGTGAGACGAGACTAACTCAGAAGGTGAAATCCCAGGGTCTCTTCCTCCTCGATGGACTCATGTTGCTTTAAAAAGCACCCAATGCAACTAGATTGTAGACACTCCCCTGCCTTATTCTAGGGTCAGATGGGCCCTAGACCTTGCAGGAGGTCTAGATTTTTTCAAAAATATGATTCAGAACATTCCACCTCTTCAGTGTCATCTGCTTGCGTCACCAGAAGTTCTTGGTGGTTCTTGCTAAGCCAGAATATGAACCATCCATTGTGTCTCCTCTAGCCTTCTCTCTGTAGCCGTGGAGGTCTCTCTCAGATGTGTGAGTTGATCATGGTTTGTCCCTTGGGTAGTCAAACTCTAAGTTCGTAGAACAAGGCCCTCTGTGCCGATGGGGCCTCTGCTGCTTGGTTTCCTTGTGCTCCTTTGCCCGGTAGAACTATCCAACCTCCCTCTCCTCCATGAATAGCACCCACTTTAGACTGGGTCAAGTGTCCCCTCTGGGGCTTGGCTCTCCCCGAATCCACATATCCCAGAGGCTTGGGGCAGCTGACAACAGGTGGCTCTCCATTCATCCATGAGCCCAAAGATCCCTTGAAACCAGGAGGCAGTTGGTCATCCAAAGTCATGGGATTGGCTTCTTTTCATGTCAAGTCCTTCCACCCCCAAAGATGGACTGAGTCTCAATCTGGTTCAGGTGGGTTCTCCACACCTTCTTCCTGTGGCCTATCTGCCTAATGCTAGATGAACACCACACAGTTATAAATACTCAGGTCAATATATATATGCAGGTATAGATATATATATTCTGGTCACTGTTTTACACTTTAACAAAGAAAACCACTAGCCTGCTTGTTCTATTGTTTGTGCCACCCCGACTCCCATCTGCCTGTGGTGTAGCTGGCAGGAAATGTGAGCCACTGAGTCCCACGGGGCGCCCACCTTACGTGGCCCCATCGCACTGGCCGACAGTCAGTTTCAAAGCGCCCTGCTCATGTAGGCTCTTGAGGGCCTTAAACTCCAAGGGCATGGTGTGGGGGCTGGCCTGGGAGGTGTAGCCGTACTTGAGGCTGTCATAATAGTGGTACTTGACTGGGTTCTGGTTCTGATCCAGCGGAAAGGGCCAGAAGCCGTAGAGGTAGATTTGGTTGCAGAAGCGTGTGGCCAGGGTATACATCAGGAGGCCGGTGGTGGGTCTTTTGATGTGGACTTTGTTGGTCAGCCAGTATCTGGAAAAACGAAAAAGAAACATGGGTTTGTGAGTCCTCCTTTCCAGGAAGAGGAAAATTCTATCCTGCCCAGCAGCCTACCTTCTGCCACTCCAGGGACCACAGGGACGGCTCAGGCCACACATTTCTGGTTCCCTCCACAGAGGACTGACAAGCACCTTGAAGCAACTGAACTGCTCCTTAGCCTGGGTGCGGTCACAGATATGAGTTATGAAATTCTCAACACAAACCTGTTGTGGGGACAGATGCAGAAATGGAGCTCCGAGGTGAAAATGGTTTGCCCAAGGCTACCTGCGTAGACAGGGGCAGCACCTTGACTTGAACACGGGCCCATGGACAGCTAGAGCAGGAGTTGGCAACCTTTTTCTGTAAAGAGCTAGATGATTTTTGACAATATTTTTGGGTTTGGGGCCATAAAAATCCCAATACGACTTGATCATTGTGTAGCTGTAGCATGAAAGGGCTGCAGACAGCACACATGGGTGTCGCCAAGCTTGGCCCTCAAGCAGCAGTTTGCTGACCTTGGAGAAAACACTGGCTCTTGCATGGTACCCACTGCCTTTCTGAGAGTCCCACGGGGCATCCCCTTGCGGATCAGCATTCCTGAGTCCATCCTTGCCTCCTGGGCATCTTGACATTTCCTTGCTGTCCCTGCCACAGGACCCCGTCTCTGATACTCATCTGTAACCGCGAGTGACTGTCCTGGGAGCACTGCGTAGTGGTTTGCCATGCAGGGCTGGGTTCTGCCCACTCTCTTTCTTCTAAGGACTCCTCACTACATCTTGGTGTACCCACCTCTGAAACAGAATCCCCGTGTCCTGCCTCAAGTCCTCTGTCAAAGGGTTATGAGAGGAAACACGGAGAAGGAAGAGCGCAGGGTGCAGGGTACACCTTAGCCAAGAATGTAGTGAGGAAGAGACCACATCCATTCCACGGACTAGGAAGCAGGCTCAGGGGCGGTAAGTAACTCAAGACCTGAGCTTTACTGAAGTTCGGTCACCAACTATCTGTGTGTCTTTGAGCAAGTCACTTAGCTCTGCTGAACCTAATGTTTAACATTTATGAAATGATGAGGCACAGTCTAGGTGATCTCCAGGATATCTTCCAGGTCCCAACATTCCATGAAAATCTAGAATTTTCTCCCTAAGTGGGAAAACATCCATTCTATTTGTTATCATCTTTCTCTCCATCACATTTATTCTCTTCTGGGACTCAGAACATACACTGATGTGTGGTCTAATGTCTTTACTTCCAGTAAAACTTTCCACTTGCCCTAGGGTGAATCCCTTGAAAAGCAATGCTTGTGCCTTGGCAGAAAGACATTTTCCTTACCACAGATTTCTTACCATTGTGTCTCTAGACTGGACACAGTTGACATCTTTCGGTCCAAGCAAACTCCATGGTTTGCCCTCCCTAACTAAAGCAAAGGCCAGCATGGTTTCTGTTGACATTTCTGCAGAGATGCACGTGACTGTTTAATCAAACTCATTCATTAAATGCAGGCCAGAAGTAAAGATAGGTCAGAAAAAACATGTACGTATCGCTGAAAGAGGAAACTGTTTAATATTATTCAGTGCTTTTAGCTGAAACGTTGGGGTAGGAGGGACAGGTTTTCTAGAAGCCCAAATGCCTCTTTCCTTTTGCAAAATCTCCCTTTTGCAGCTCAAAAAAGGAAACCCAAAAAACCTCCTAGAGTGGGAGGTGTTAGCCTGTGAATCAGACAATGTTATAGATGGCCAGTTACCTATGTAAGTTCAGTGAGTCATGTAATCGTGTAACGTTTGATGAAAGAAAATGCATTTCGAGAATCTTCATTCCCACATCCCCATCCTGACTATGGGGCTGGGTTACTTGAATCTCCCCTTCGACACTGCTGATGGAGGCCATGGTCTTAGGTGGCCAAATCAGAGTGAACACGATTCTCCTGGGTGTGGCAGGAGCCGCCTGGGTGGCCCTGAGACAACGTGGCTGCTTCGTAAGCCTGTCCTTCGAAGACCCCTTTTCTCGCGGTTTCTCTGATTTCATCCTGTCTAGGCCAAGAAACTTCCTGGCAGCAGAATTTTCCAACTGGAAACCCAAGGGAGGGACAAAGGCAGACACAGAACAGGGCAGCGTCTCTGGTAACTGCAAACACAGCACATTTGAAAAATAACAGGAGCAAGTGTTTGTGGATGCTGAGATCTTCGTCATTTCTTCCCTGCACTACCTCTGAGAAGTCTCTGTGGTGTCAGTCCATCACAGTGAGCCATCCTCCACCTAGTAGCCCCCCAGACATTTTCCCAAAATCTCTCCCTGCTCCACATACAACCCAAGTTCCATGGTTCAGAAACTCTGCAAAACCTGGCCCCTGCAGCCCACCAGTTTCAGCTC